TAATGAGCTATGGGATTAGATGCAGGTACGAGTAGGATGTGTAACGCGTGTCCATCCATCAGCTGCCGTGACAACTCATGGTGGTTAGAATAAGTTATGAGAGGACCCGAGTCTGTATTTTTCCCAAGAAAATGACGAAGATATGTACTAAAACACTTAAATTTACTACACATGGACTAGGTACTGCGAGGCTCGTATATCACAAGTTTCTTACAACGATTAAGTAGATAAAACATAGTAGCATTAGATTTAAGAATTTATTCAGGAACTTTCATTAAGAATCGGATATCAAACAAAGGTTTAAACGAAGTCCCTGTTTAAAAGTTGCACTGGTAATGTTAAGCTGCAGTCTTGGTTGTTTTTTTTTCAAACGAAAGGGTAAAATAAGTAACTCAAAAAGTACTGGAAGTGGTTGTGAAACTAAAATGGAAGTCCGGCATCCTTTTTATAATCTGCTGTTAGTTGGGTCTCCCGTAAACAGTTCCTTTGGGCCATAGTTCTAAGGGCGAAACAGTTTTTATGATCTGTGAAGACTCACTCCTGTTGGATTCTAAATGAGAAAATAGTAGTGAATTTAGTCAGAAATGTGGAATAGATAAATAACCAAATTACATGTTTTTTAGGAAAGAATTTATGCAGTTGTGACTTACCTTGAGTTCATGAATATTAGATCAGGTCAGTTACTATTACTTGTGCAAAGCATAACATGGACTTAGTACCGTATCGCAATGCTTTTATTATTTTGCTCTCATTTAAGTATTCCCATGCATCTGCGTCTAGTTTAACAGGAAGACATACAAGCAGAGTTAGTGTCTGATAAACTAAAAGTCCCAGTTGTCAAAAAGATTCTTAACATTTGTCCACGGCCAGCTGCATTTAATTGAGACACAGAACCCTCATTTTCCAAGACTGTATACTGCAGTTTGGCGGGCAACTAAAAGCTCAGACACTTAGCTATCCTGCTACCGATGTTATTGATGAGGAAATTTTTTAATGACAGTGATCTTAGAATACGGTCAGTGATAGATGTACAGTCTAGAAATAAACATCAAACATTCTTAAAGCTATCTTATAATGTATTACAGCAACAGTACCAATGGCATTTCTTTCCTATTTTCAGTCAGACTGATTTGAATCAGTATAAACTTTAGGAACAGGCAGCTCTACTTACTTAACTGGTCTGTTTCGTTACAGGCTTCAAGCACTATACTTAAGTATACCATAATTATTTCGACTAAACTGAACTATACGGCACTCAAGAATACTAAACTAAGCAAGAGTCATAAGATCACAGGATAGACAGACATCATCATCCATTGCGAAACATTTGATTGAGACGGGTCGTAAGTTTGATATCAAATCAGCATTTGTTGTGTTGTACGAAAGCCTTCAAGGACGTATACTAAGGTTTATAGAAGCCTTGGCTATACGAAAATTGAAACCCCCTTTATGTGTTCAAAAACAATTTGTGCTTACACTTGACCTACCCTGGTAGTACTGATTTACTATCCAGAGTGGTAATCGCATTTGTTTTTGTGTACTTTAATATTTTTCCTTTGTCATGACTTACCCTTAGCCTGTCTAGTTGACCTCTTAATTTTCATATATAAATGTTCTTAACAAGTATATGTGTAATCAGATTGTTCGAAATGTATTACGCAAATATATTACATAATCCTGGTAAAATACGTCTTCTAATTGCATTATCAAAATGTCATAATTATCGTTCCATTTGCACAGACATGTTGCTGGACAGAACATGAAAAAGAAAACAAGTTCCATTTTCTCGATATATAGTCGGCATGAAGTACAGTATAGTAAAAAAAGTACAGTGAAAATTTCGGCTCCTCGTAAACTTCATCGTTCTTTTCCAGCCGTCCTGGAAAAGAAAGAAGAAAATGTAAGTGCATACCGAAATACACTCGTACGCGCGTAAAAACACAATGCTCGCGAAAAAAATGGAATATAAATTCATATGCACGTGATATCGTTTAAAAGGATTTTTACAAAGTTTTTTGTTTTTTCGAAGTAAAAATATATAAGCATATTAAAATTGTTTTTTTATAAAATATTACTTATGGTTAAAAAATCGAGATAATATAAAATGTCATGTAGTGCCTTGCGTGCAATAATCATTTAAATGTTCTGGAAATCTTACCCTTCTTCCAGAACGCGTCGTCTTAAGTTTATTTTCTGGTTCTATTGAAGTATCATCGGGTGTGTTGCCTGTCTGTTGGGATATTGTAAGTGTAAGAGTCGTGTTGTGCGATTATACCAAAGGGAAATTGACATGAATAGGATTTCCTTCTAAATACGCTGCTTCTAATCGATCGATGCTGATGCTATCGTTTGTTCCGTTCTTATCGACCATATAGTACTTAGATTCACGTTGAAGAACTTTGAAAGGTCCTTCGTATGCTGATTCGAATGGTCGTCGATGCGAGTCTCGACGAACGAAAACGTGTGTACTATATCGTAAGTCAGGTTGAACGAAAACATCGGTTGATTGTGGTCGAGTGGAAGCAGGTTTAACTGAACACATTGCGTTTGTAAACCTGTTCGTGTAGGATGTTAGATCGATGTTCACTGAAGAGGACGAATGATCCACGAATTCCGGAAGTTGAAGTGTTGCTCCATAAACGAGTTGAGCTGCAGTGTATCCGATGTCAGCTTTCACTGCATTGCGACTACCAAGTAAGACGAGTGAAAGTGTTGGTCCACTGTGAAACGTTTGCAGCTGATAGCGAAGCTTTTAGTTGTCGGTGAAAACGTTCTACCAACCCGTTTGCTTGTGGATGGTAGGCGGTCGTTCGGAAGCGATTGATTCCTAAAAGTGTGGTCAGACGACGGAAAAATTCAAATTCAAACTGCCCATCGTTTGACGAAGGTGCGGGCCACTGTTTCAGTAGTGATGTCCCTGAGAGGTACTGGTTCTGGCCATCGAGTGAAACGGTCTACGCAGGTTAAGAGATAAGAGTATCTGTTTGAATCTGGTAAACGTCCTACCAAATCCAGATGAACATTGTGGAAACGAACGTCCGGAGCTTTGAAAGAGCCTAAGGGACAATTGTTTTGTCTGATAACATTAGATTTTTGACAGCCCACACAGGAGCGTGCCCACTCCCTCACGTCCTTATTCATGCCAGGCCAGCAAAACCGTTCTGCTATGAGCTTGATGGTTGAACGAACACCTGGATGAGAAAGTTTGTGCAATGTGTTGAAGACGTTGCGTCGATAACGTCTCGGCACGATTGGGTGATCCCCACGTGTAGATGTGTCACGAAGTATGGTTTCCTTACCTGTTCCCATCTGCTTGATGCGTAGTTTGAGGGTTGTAGACGATAACTCGTGCTGAAGATCACTGTCTTCTTTCTGAAGCTGGGTGAGTTTCAGTAGGTCGATTCCTTGGAAACTGTTCAAGGAATTTATTCGAGACAAGGCGTCTGCGACTACATTGTTTGCTCCAGAAATGTGTTGAATATCTGCAGTAAACTGCGAAATGTAGTCCAGTTGTCGAGACTCACGTGGTGAGCACTTGTCTGAAGAGGAGCTTAAGGAGAAAGTAAGAGGTTTATGGTCAGTGAAAAGGGTAAATTCATGGCTTTCGATAGAGTGTTGAAAATGCCGCACAGCACAATACATAGCTAGGAGTTCCCTACCGAATGTGTTGTACCCCGATTAAGTGTCTGGCAACCGTCTAGAGAAAAATGCCAAAGGTTGCCAGGAGTGGTTAACCCATTGTTGTAAGACTCCTCCGATTGCTGAGTCGGATGCGTCTACTGCGATACTAATGAGTGCTTGAGTGTCCTGATGTGCAAGCATTGTTGCTTGAGCGATAAATTCCTTAATTGTGGAGAATGCAAGTTTAAAACTGATTCGTGGAGCCTGTCGTTAGATTTTTCAGGAAGAACGCTGACTTCTGCGCCACTATCGTTATCACATCGATGATGTATAACAGACGGCTATGATCGCCGGCTATGGTTGCCGTTAACACGTGTCGGCTCGGAAGTTTCGCAAATTATTTTTCGTGTCGGTCGATTTCGAGTTGGGAAAATTGCAGGGTTTCCTACAAATTCTGGAGGACTTTCCATACTGGTTATGATACCAGTGCCATTAGGGGTTATCAGTCTCTCGTAGTCTAGTGGCGGATCGCTTACATGAAGTGCTACTTCTCAGGGTGTGTGACAATTTACGGTCTTTACAAAATTTAAGATAACGTGTAAGTGTATGACATAGCTCTGTTATGTCATTCCGGGTCGTTTGAGGTTTTCGTTGACTGAAAGAACCTCGGCAATTGAAGATTCCGTGATTTCTAAGATGCGATCGGCAGATGCATCTAGCTCGTCTACGGCGTTGTTTTGAAATGAGACCAGCACAGCTTGCACCTGTTGAGGAAGTTTGGATAAGAAGGGTTGCTTTAATAGGCCATCATCGAAGGTTTATTATTGTTATTATTACTATTATTATTAATGGCTTTATTCAATATTATATTTTGGTACAATATAGAATTCTCTGGCCGACAACCTCTCTCATGCTTTGCAACATGTCTGTCGCAGAACCGTGTTGCAGACCGATGTTATTTAGTAGTTGGTCCAACCTTTGTCGATCGGTTAGGTCTCCGCGTTTAAGGATACATCGTTTAAGTGTTTCGTAGGGTTCAGAAACATCACTGAAAGACATACTAGGTGTTACGTACCTGTCGAATTCTCGCGGTAGTGCCCTAGCACCCGTAAGACATCAGAATTTGTCCTTAAAACTGTTATACTGTGTAAACATACCCAGGTGTGGTTGTTTGGATAACCGAAGCTTTCTTCCTAAAATAACTTTTTGAACTTATAACAAACCTACTAACTAGGCTTATGAAGAGATAACTTTCAATTGAATCAAAAGTTATCTTTTCTTTTAGAAAAAATTCTATTTTATATGTTGTTCGATAACTTTAAATGAACTAGTGATTAAATTTATCATCTGCTCTGTATTGAGTAACATCATTGGACAGTGAATAATATATTCCGCTCTATTTGATTATTGACCTTATGTTTGATTTACATAACTTACAAAGACAAGTCGGCAAGTTCTTGTGCGATGTTAGCTTTTAATGTGTAAATCTTGTTAAAAAATGAGTATTTCAGCTATGTCTGAGCCGTCCACCGTTAACGCTGGTAGAGGAGATTTTCTTACTCATTAATAAGTAAGATCTCTATAATTATAGAGATAACAACTTTTCATGGTTCTTTGTCCATCACATATGAAACACTTTGAAATCTGTGGGTCCCCATACAACTTTCGTGATACGCTGTCAATATGCCAGGTTCAATATACCTGTGATTGTTCTAATTAGATATAGCATTATCGACACATTGTATACAGGGTGTTATAGCCCGAGCTCCCAACTTTAAGGAAATTTTGGGGAAGCTCTCGAAGTCAAATGACATTGACCAGGGTTAAAGGGGAAATATTGGGGAATTTCCCCAAAATATGCCAAATTTTCACCGATATTGGGAGCGCAGGAACTTGTTGTGCAAGTGGGATATCCGTTTACCAACCAAGTTACGTTTTCGCAGCTCAGTAGCCCTCTCTGTAATAATATATTGCCGTGAAACAGGGTCTTCTGAGGCATCAGATATGCATAGGCTACAGGATTTTAATCGCAGGTGTCTTCGGAGCACTGATCACTTATCATAGGACAGTAGAGTAAGGTGTCTTGGTGCTAAATACGGTGAACTAAGCAAACAAGGCGAGCCCGTTGATAAGGCTGTGGGTCTTTGCAAACAGGTAATTGGGAGGTATCATTCATGACCAACCACTACGGGACTCGACGGTCAATGTCGGTTGGAGTAGGAGTAAGTTGGAATAAAGCCAAGAGCTTTCGATTCAACTGTGGCACCTTTTCATGAAGTCAATAACTGTTAGTTGACTCATATCGACAAGTGAAGACTAACTGGTTGGCATCCGTTCGATAACTGTAACGCGTAATTGGAGACGGGTCAAGGCTCGTAATCAGTTGCAGTGCCTCCAGATGTATTCACTCCTTGTCTTACTCGAGATATTCAGTATTTTTTTTAAAACATACCTCCTATAATCTCGAGCCTTACCAGAGGCGCTATCAGCCTAGTCCATAATATATTATTCTTCAGTAAAGAAGAACTAGTTTCGTCATTTTAATGTTAACCTGCCATCATATGAGTGTCAATCATATTAACTGCTTAGAAGGTAATATACCAAATATCAAATGAATTGCAGAAGATTTTATACATACAAACATACTTTTTGTTCAGATGCGTTCTGTATCATTCAAAAGGACTATAGATTGCGCGTGATTTTTTTAGAATTTTACTCTCTTATTCCATGAAACGGGCAAAACAAGAAAGAGAACTGACAGATGAAGAGCGTAATATCGTGATATCAGTACGTCATTGTGCGCGAGAATTGGACGATGTCTTACAGGGTGCACGTAGAAAAGCCCAGTCGAATCCCAAAGTATTTGCGGAGACAGGAATTAGTGTCATGTTTAGAGGTGTTGACTCTTATGCGGATATGTATGAAAAATTGGGTGTGAAGTCAAGAGATGGATTAGAAAGATTATTTTCTAAATTTTCTGACTGTGAAGAAATTCAGGATACTCAAGATGCAATCGAAGAAACTGAAGGAAACTGGAGAAATTTTCTAGTTAATCTTGATAAGGAGGTTGCACATGATGAGCATGAAAATAGTAAAGTTAATTCAGTATCTAAACTCGAGAACCTTTCTGATGTGGAATGTGATTATTTATTCTTACCATCACTGCCACTTATTGACTGGCAAACCAGCCGTGAGGTTAACTTGCAAGATTATGTCCAAAAATACATGTGCCTTGTAGTCATCTGTCAGCCTGCATACTGGCCAGATACTGCTGTTCGTTGGCGCTATTCAGAGGTATCAAAAGCCCAGGTAAATTTCCCACTCCAAAATTAATGATTTTATGATTAACAATATTTTTAGAGTAACGCTACAGAAAACGTTTCGCTATCAAATTTACCATTAGTGTATTTCAGTAACCACATATACTTACTACTACCTGTGTGCACATGTGCCAGGTCCTACATTTCATATCACTAACTGACTAGGAACTTCATATTCCTTGATATATTTGTATCTATGGCCATCTGGATCACACTGTCGATTAAATAGTGCGTTAATAAAACTGACGTCAAGTTAGGCTATTGCTATTTTATTATGTAGAGGCTACATGTTTTTGCCATTACTTGATCTTACGATCGGCGGTTTCCCATATATCACCTATTACCTTGTTTTGCTACCCATTTCTTGTTCCTGAACTTTCGAAGGATTTCTGTGTTTCATAGATCACCAAAAACAACTAGTTTAGTGAGTAGTATATCTTTCAACTTCATTATGAACATAGTTGTTGATCGAAATTCAGAATTCTGTCATATATACACCATCCACTCCGTTCATGTGGTTCCCGTTGTATATTCACTAGCATAACGAGATGTAGTACACTAAAATTCATCCACGTGAAATAACATGCCATGCAATACTACACCTAGTACTTATATTGTGCGACTTGTAGGAGCTGACCTAACCAAAAACCAATGCTCTTGAACATACAGATGACTCACCACTGTAATGATTCTTACCTTCTAAAGATTTTATTTAATTTTATTTCTCCTGTAGATGTATGTCTAAATAGTATAAGATGATTTTGTTTGAACATCTTGAGAATTGTACTAAAAACACAACAGAGCAATGCGATTATCATTATCGTTAATACGATGCGTTGAGCTACTGTTCATAGTCACGAAAATTTGTTATGGTAAACTGACTTCCTTTTGAGTATTAATATTAAATTTAGTTTGACCATTATCTTCATCTCTTATCTATATCAGACTGAAAATGAGGCAGACAATCGATTTGAGACGTGGCATCAACAGACACAGGCCCAAATTAAGACAATTCACATCAGTAACCGATTTCCGCCTGTCACCTGCAATCTCTTAGCATTGGGTACGGTCATCACCCTGAATCCAAACAAGAAATATGAACTTGCTCATATGACTCCAACTAGCAATCAATGGCCCCAAATGCTGTGGTACGACCGGAGCGAGGAGAGTTAGCTCTCCATCTCGAAATGCACTCACATGGCCACGCGTATACAGCCACTGCCAGGGAGGTCCTTCTCGTGGCAGGGGTGTTGTTTACGAAATTGAGAGAACGAAACGCAAATGTTCGGTACTTTACCCGGGTTGGTGGATACGGAGGGTCCACCTAGGAGAGTTGGGAAACCCTGATTCCAAATCGATGGTGCAAATGAGCTCCAGGATCCTGAAGGAACGAATTGCGTACGAACCAAATGTCGGTCACTGGTTACCATGAGAGTGCATCTCCTAAAGTTGCTCCACTGTCTTATGAATTAGACTTCCGGATCAAAGGTTCCAAATGTGGCCCCCTAGGAAAACCACCTGTTTCGGTTTGGGCACCTGGGCAGTATTACAGCCCTCACATCAATGATAAGTACTACTGGCCTCATTGTTATTATGTGGTGCATATGTAATTGATTCCCTCTTGTACCAATGTTTGTGTGTTCAGATAAATAAGCGATCAGTGACTTTATGTATCTATGCCACGACAGTTTTACTTTCAGTAGTGTTTATCCTCTACCATTGATTTTAGTACTTCAAGGAATATGATTTCACAAAATAGGATTCTTACTACGTAATTCTCAAGAAGCTGTCTGTCAGGCAGATATTTTACTGTTCATTACTTTTTCAGTGGAATTCAAAACGTTCTAATTAGAAATCCCGCCAACTGATATCAACTAATAAAGACACATATTTCTCACTAGTTTTCAATATTTGTATTCAATGCGAAGGGATATTGATAGTACTGACTGTCAAAAATTTCAAAGTATGGTAAAATTGTATGTGGTAAACCTTATTCTCAGTTGATCTTCAAATGGTACCTTTTTCATTTGGTTGAGTGGTTTGCGGAAATTAGTTGAATTCGGTGATAGTTCAGACTAATATAGTAATATATTTCTCCATTAATTCGTTCCAAGAAGTTATGATCTAGTAGTATACTAACATTGACGTCGAAATGGAGGCATTTATGCCTCAACCATATCAGTTTAGACGTCACGGTAAGTCATAAATTCATAGTTTTTAGATGTAACATACTATTTTTTCTATTTATTTTAGATAGTTTATTTAAATTAATTATATTCTGTACAATTTTTTCCTCTTTGTGTTATGAAATTGATTTTACGTTTATGTAATTTCAAACTTTTTAAAAGTGTGATCTATCCCAGTTCAACGTTGGATACGCAGTTGTTACATGGGGCCCAGCAGATGAAGTGCGGAGTTGGTGTAAACAAGTTAATCGAATTACAAAATGGCCGGTTTTATGGGATAAATCAGGCGATTTTCGAGCTAAAATTGGATTTAAATCAGGTTTACAACGTGTTAGTTTGCAAAATCCTCTTTTTAGCCCATGCTTTTCATAAAATCAGTTTTCATTATTGCATTTCAATATCATGCAATATGAAGTGCATTAACTGGTTAGTACCATGGTCATGTCTATGTATTTTTCAAAAACAATAGTTTCACACTCTTGGAAGATATTATTGTCTTTGCGAGTCAAGTTTACGTATTAGCGTGAGCAATCTTACCACATACTTGTAGAACTTGACGTTTTGAGCTGAGGATGTTTACTGTCTCAATCTGATCATCGTCGTCTCCCGACAATCGCTCACATCCTATTCTGATATCCAATATTATGTGCTTTGGAAAAACCCAACCATGACTGTCACCTTGACGTGGTGCTTGAACTTGAATATTGTGATGACCCGATCGAACTGTTTTGGTTGGAATACTCATTCCCTTAGGTGCTACCATGCCTGGCAAGCTGTTCAAAGAGCAGTAAGACTAAAAGCAGCAAACTCATGATCCGAAGTTGTACTGCTGGCTGTATAGGAGTATGATGGCATTAAGGGTTTTTTCTTCAGACACTTAACATCTACAGCGGTACTGCCTCCCCACAACTAAAGGAGGAAGTTAGATAAGGTCGACCTTGAAAACTGTATACCTCACCTTGCTATATGGATTTCTGCCTTTAGCGACAAGGTCTTAGAAGTAAGTAGCTAGTTTTCCTAAAACTATTCACAAAAGGGTAATGTGTAACCAGCCTTATGCAGTTGTCCGTTAGGTAGTGAACTTACGATTTCGGGTTAGCAAAAACTGCCTTTAACCCAGTCTCACTTTTAGGTACCCGAGAAAGTTTTCTTTCATAGTGTGAGCAAAAGGGAAGTTATAGCCAACTTCACCTCTGGGAAAGCTCTAAGTTAATGGTGAACAATTATATAGGTATTACCATCTTGAAATACTAATATTAATGGCTTGGGCACGTTTTATGTTGTCCTAGCGGCTCCACACCGCACATCATTTGTTGTTAATGTGATTATATAAAAAACTAGATAATAGACAATTCTTGACTCCGAAAATCCCCAACATTGTGAATTAAAACAACATATATAGGTGAACAATAAGGTTTGCAATTCGATCCTTCTCAGGCTTTATTCTAGTATATAAGGATGCTTAATATGCATGTATGAAATTATTAAACCAATCAAGGCATTTTACGGGTCATTGATAACAGTGGGATAGATAACATAGATAAACGTTAAGTAAAAATTGATGTGATGATTTTAAAGTCACATAGGGATCTGAATGCATTTCAACACGAATCCAGCTACTCCTGTGGAGAGCGCTATATTGTGCGCACAACTAGACCACTGAGCCGACGAGTTAATGAGCACCTCTCTTCGCAGTTGGAAAAGGGCTTCATGAAAACAATACACAGCTGTGTTTTATAACACTTGATTGAGTGTTTATGTAGGAGTAGGAAATAAGTCATTTAAAGTGATCTTTGGTATGCCTATTAGTCTTCCTTATGAGGTTCAATCTCGTCGCTTATACATTGCAGAAGCTGTAGGGATTACAGCTGACAATCCAATTCTTTGGGTTCGTGAGGAATTCGTGACTTATTCCACCCTTGGCCGGATTAGCCTTAGTAAACGATTTTACTTATTATTATTTTCCATATTCCTCGTCCCATTAATTTTCTTTACCCCTTTTTCCAAACATGCGCTTCACTGTGTAATTGGTTGGATACTTCTTCTTACGTAATTTTTGGGGAACATTATTCCATCTGTTTTTTTCAGGTCCTTAACCTACTTTCTGATGATACATTGATTGCCATAACTAATACATCTGTAATCACGCTATCGATTCGTGCTGTTTACTTATTATGTTTATTTATGTAATCTTTTCCACTGTTATCACTGACTTCCTTGATTGATATAATAATTTTATAAATGCATATAAATATTATTGTATATTAGAGTAAAGCCTGATAAGAATTTAATTGAAAACAATGTTCTAATTTTTGACGTGTCATCCTGACATAAAGGATAATGGAGCTGAGTTTACATCCACTTTTCACTCAAGTACCTTTAGATGAGGCAACTAAGACATCACCAGAAAAGATTTGAAATAAGAGTTAGTAACAATGTATTTTGAATATATATTGTTTTTCGCAAACATTAAAAGGGCCCTGGGTTGTGTTTTTACTCAGTGCTTTGTTTAATACATGTTCTCCCCTTTCTCCCTAACCCTGGCATCTTGCTGTTTCATGCACATCTTGATGTCTTATTTTATCGAATCTTCTTTATAGGTAGTATTTTTACATAAACACTTCGTAGTTTGGTTGTATGCACTTGACAGACTCACCATTATAATGTACGCCCATAGTGAATTTTAGCTTTTATTGTATATTTATTACAAGCTGTCAGATATTTGGAAACGTTTACCACCTAGACTATGCATATATCAAGATATCTAAAAAATTTTGGTCGCCCAGACCAATTATGTTTATACTACTAAGATTTACAGGGTGTTTGTGCATTAGATTTTTATCCCCTAATAACTTATTGGAGTGTAGGATAGAAATTATAGTGATAATATCACTCTTGTTTTAACAGTGACATTAGTGTTCTACTATGCAGTGTTCCTCAATTAGGAGTGAGGGTTATTTTCCCTTGCCTTATCTTTAAATTTTTTTTACAAAGCACAAACTTGCTATAGGGATGAGATATGCCTCTGAAAATGATTACAAACGTATTAGTGATGTATCTTCACACAACTCACTCATAAGAACCATGTCTTAGAACAGTACTTTTAGACATACCAGAGAGAGGATTTACATCGAACTGTCCTCTTAGAAAAATCTTAGCCGTGATATTTTTCGCGTATACTTTACTGTTTTGATGAGACCAAAATGAATGTTACCCAATAATTTCACCTTATTACGTTGTGTAAATTTACCAAGGTCTTAATAAGTTTTTATCATATATAAAAGCATTAATTAAATCTTATTGTTCCGTTACTTAATGGATATAGGTATGGGCCGCTGAAAATCTGGATTTCCTTGGTTGTCAACGTTCAATGCATCATCGTCCGATAAATTCACCGCCAACTAATCTCAACTGGTCAGAATGGAAACAAATCGGTGGCGAATTAGTTTTATCTCAGCCTGTCTTATGGAACCCACAAAAGACAATGAAATCTAACATATATGTAGCAACGCAAACAGGTGTAAAACATAAGCGCAATACTCATGAAAGTGATGAAGAAGATAGATCCAATGAAGAAGACTTGCACTCAGAATCACTTAAAGTATCAATTAGAGAGGCCCTTCGTGATAAAGAAGCGATGAGTTCAAAACAGGTCAAAGTTTGTGCATTGCACCTAAGTACTCGTATTTCGGATCTCATGCCATCAGGTTCGATATATCAAGCTGCTTTAACGTGTTATGCTCGTACACACAATACTACAGAAAGCGATGTCATGGATAAAATTAGGAGAGATCGCAGGTTTTGTACACCACCTGAATCAGCTCGATTACAGTACGAAGCAACTACCGGTTTATATTATGACCCAGAAACTGCTTTATATTATGACCCACTAAGAGGTTATTTCTATGATTCAACGAATCAAATGTACTACTATTGGTCTCAATCTGAAGGACGATATATCTTAGCCAATACTTTGATTCAAGCTGAACTTGCTGCTGCGCATGTAGCTCAAGCAGTAGCAGCCCAAGCTGCCGCAGACAAAGCTATGGCTGAGCGAGAAGCTGCTAAGAAGGCGGCCATGTGTGTAGCCGCGCAATTGGCGGAGATACGTGCGGGTAAAGACGATTATGCTGCTTATGCGTATGCAACATGTGTATTACCTCAACAAGAACCAAGCGACCCAGATTACAAAGAAATTTCTACAGACAGTGGTAGATTTTGTATCGCTTATCAAAATACAACAGCCGCTGCAAATAATATAGAAGCATCACTAAAAGCATGGAACACAGGCAATACTAACAGTGGTACTGAGATTTTGTCGTCTAAACCTCTTGTTCCTTATACAGATGACAATACAGAAACTGATCATCGTAGTTCAACACCGCCACCCCCAGGGTTGTAAATAATAAAACTGTAAAGAACACAACAAACCCCCATCTCATTACTTTAGTCACATTGCTCCACTCACTATGTATTTGGCACTTTTGCGTACTATAAGCTGTGCAGCGTATTTAATTTGGTGTTTGTACAGCGATTTTCTGGGTTTAATTAACTTGTAACATTTTACTATTTCTGTAAAGCATAAACTATTCTAGTACAAAAAAGAATGAAGTTGGTGAAACAACATTTGCATGTCATGGTAACTAAAGTGTCCTATGAATAAGGGTAGGCGATGCTCAATGATTTAATGCCGCCAACGTAGTTATTTGACCACGTATTTTTCGTAAACATTACTGACATTTATGAAGATGCCGCGCCATCTTTTTTATCAACTGAGCTTTGTTCTTTCTTCGGACAGAACCAACTTTAAGCGACGAAGCGCCTACGAACTTGTTAGTATTTAGGGATTTTGAAACCAGTAAAAGAACTTCATTTGTAATCTAATAACGAGAATGTGCACACTATGAGGCATAGATACCCCGTATCACATGAGATAGAAATAAATAATAACCTATTGGTTTGTATTTTTGTTTGTCAAGTCTTTCTTTGAGACATAAATTGTTGGCATCTCATGGATGATAAAGCCAGGGATTGTCAGTATATCAATCAATCTTCTTGTTGAGAATACTTCCACATAATTATTCTGAAGAGTTGTTGTTGTTTTGATATCTCTGCTTACTTGTTCAACACCATTTTTTTGGACATTTACATAGAAATAAAACTTGGCAGTGGAATCAGAAGGTCGACTTGTTTTGGAATGTAACCATGATGAAATTTTTCCAAAAGGCGGTGAACCAGAGGGATAATACGTAATCAGCGCATCTTGCCGTTCAGATGATACATTAAGTATGTGATTGCTCCATATAGTACATAAACGTGTCAGTTGCTCTTGATCATGTACGACCAGACGTATTGATTTCGAATGGCTGGTAATACAAGTTACATCTGAAGCTTCTTCTGAAGACATAAGATTAAATTCTATGCTCCATAAAATACTTTTAGGTTCGTCTTTCTGTATATGGACACGGGTTTTGTTGACTTTTGTACGTGACAACATGAGTGTTGGTGCGAGTCGAAGTGTTACACCATATTCATTGGCCAACTTTACTAGTTGATTCCTTCTACGTATCCTCCCAGTATTTCGATGAGATAGCTAAGGAAAAAATAGCTGGAAATGATAAAACTCGTAGCACTGTGTCTATTACTTATAAAAAAAACAGTACAGTAAAGAATCTCCCAAATACACCGTAACCACTGGAAAAGTTGGAAGTTTGTGATAAGAAAGATGTTAGTCTCAAGAGACCATCTTTTTGTTTGAGCGATAGGTTAGCATGGCGACATTAGTACTAATAGAGAGGTTGGCAGTACTTGACGAGATTAACATTTAATTTGTCCTGCTAAGATCATGAATAATATGTCAGTGATATATTTCGTAGTATGGGCTTTCGACCTTAACCTACTGACTTTGGCACACAACCCTGCTCAAAAGATAGACTACACGTAATTTTGTGACGAACATTGTTCGTGAAGAATCTATGATACTGATAACGCTTGTAAGTGACTACGTGAGAGTAGGGATGAAAGTCGAGAAATGTACGAGTATGTTAGGAATTAAATATCTGCATATATGTTGAGTGTCACCGACCAAACTAATAGCGAGTAACTAAATCAGATGCAAAAAACATTGGGAAATTACGTAGTTAAAAATGAATATGTAATTATAAGAATGAAACTCACGGGCAGAACATTCGTTACGAATATAAAATCTAGGGAAACTTCGGTGTAACTTTAGGGTTTAGGAGACCAGGAGTGAAGTCTTAGGCTCCATGGACTTATTTATACAGAGTGTGGGTTCATTTATGAGTCTTCTTATGGTTACCGCAGTTCTGCAGCACAGAACAAGTCTAACGATTTTTCACTGATACGACTATAGCTACTACTTTGACATGGTCGGGCATGGCTGGGACATAAGTCCTACTATTCCAGACAGGTCAGTTGGAGAACAGTACGACTGAAAGCAGCAAGGTCCGAAGACGAAGTCGTATTGTCGACTGTTGAGGGGTGCGACGACGCTAAGGTGTTCAACTCGGAAACCAGCATCTGCAATGATATTGTCTTCTCACAACTGAAGGAAGGGGTTTAAAAAGATCGAGAGTAGAAACATCAAAACTCACCCTACCCCACGGATCTCTGTCTCCGGTGGTAAGGCCTTTCGAAGTGCGGAGCTAACAAGTCAGGACCTCATTAAACGTACGTGCGTGTTCGGCCTCAAGCAGTTGTCTCTTGGTTTTTTTGCGGATAAGCTCCTAGGTCGCTAAGACCAACGTTAATCAAGCTTTTTCTAATGGAGTTTTGTTCTCTGAGCTGGATGGTTTAGTCGTGGAGCTCTCGTCGTTCTTCTGAATGACATCGTCTCAAGGTTTAGGCAACAGAAACTTAACAACCGCCCTTATACCTCTAATAACAGCAACCGAGATCATCGTGTTTACGATCAAATCCCTCCCGCACTTTTCAATAATTCTCATGTCACCGTGACTAACCTTTGTGGCATATCTTTATCAACACACGCTACTGATGCTAATGATTTGAGTTCATGAAATGTTAGTGTTGGTCTTCCCAAACGACATTCTAAAATTTTAATGTCTAAACTTTGTGTCAGATAAGAGGACAGTTTTTTTAGCTGGGACTTTAGGAATTGTGGCGGGTGATTTTATGCCCAAGTAGGTAAACTAAACCAAACCTAAAGGGATTTGGGGTGGGTCTTACGGTGTCGCGTCTCAGCAAACAGACGGTGATGGCCGTAGGATGTCAATATGCTCAGGTAACCGTCTATTTTTGGCAAGCAGCAACTTTAAGTACACGGAAAAGCATTGTCTAACGTGGAGACTTACTGAATCGACTCAACGATGGACACGAAAAGATCACATTGCCGTTAGCCATCGCTGCGGGGGCTTGATAGAAAACTATCGCTCATTCTAGAGCATATGTTTAGACTGAGATTACGCTCTAGTTCCAGCGTATTTTTGTCAGCATCTAAATAGATGTAAAAAAAGCTGCGGCATGAAAACATGTCTTCGAAATCTGGCTGTTAGTGAGACTATTTCGGGAAAAGACGTGACTATATTTCACTCTTAATAGAAGAAATTGAATCGATGGGTAGAACACCTTAGGGGACAGTTGAACTGGCCTCCAACCGCACTTCAGCTACACACCATTTCTAAGCAATGTGAATGGGAAATTGAGTTAATTCCTCCAACTCTTAGTGAGGTTGAAAAGGCAAGAGGTAGTACTAGGGCCTTGTCGACCAACTCCCGAGGATTTTAAGGATAGTGGTCCAGTTTTAGCAATTAGATCAGCCGAGATCTTAGCGAGAATTCCGAGACCTGACTGTAGTTCTGTCTGACTGATTTCAATCGTCGACCGTCCCAGTCTACAAGAAAGGACAAACATTCTCTTGTAATAATCACAGGGGAATCAGTCTAATTAAGTGTCTAAAATATTGGCCCCAATAATACTTCGACGTCTAATTACAGCTAGTGGAGAGCGAATCCGAGAAAACCAGGCTAGTTTCAGACTTGGATGTGGATGTAAAGATCAAATATTTACCCTTCAGAAAGTTCTGGAACAGATATACTTTTCGACGTCCGACAATAGTTGTATTCCTTAACCCCGAGGTGGCGTTTGAATCTGTCGATTGTGTGGTTTTGTGACGGTAACTATCACTGAAAGGTGTGCCAAAGAAGTACGTTAATCTTTCACAGGCTGTTTATTAAAACACTATTAGTCGAGTTATAGCTTATGGCAAACTGTCATCGGAATTGAATACTTTATTTAGTGTTCGTTAGGTTTTCTGCCTTTTCACTTTTAACTTTGTCGTAGACATGCTTTCAGAGGCAACACTTTTATCTAACTTTTAGGGTTATATTTCCTGCCGGGAGATTCACTCGTTGACGTAGAATACGAAGATGATATAGTTCTGTTTAGTGAAAACGTTGACAAAACAGTGTTCTAGTTCCCCTAAGCAACAATGAAAACACGTTTGAGAGGCGGTTATCTCCCTTCAAATATAAAATGATTATTCAGGACTGGCTTACATCAGAGCCTGAGTTAATTATAGGGCGTGGATTAGTTGAACGCATCGACCACTCCATTTATATTGGGAGACTCATTAATCCTGATATTCTGGTGTCTGATGGAATCTCAATCATAGATGTCTTTAAAGCGCTGCCCTTGTATTTTAGGACTACCGAGTAAGTAATGCCTGAATTAGGAATAAGGTAATAGGTAAGGATGACAAATTGATTGAACTAGCATATTTTAATCAACTGAGACAGTTGGGATGTGTTACGTATGCCCAACCGCTGTCTACCTTGACGGGTATGTTATATGTAGTAGGAGTGCGTTGGAAGAAAGATAAAGTGGCTTAAACAAGACTTAGCATCAGTCCGATGAGTCATTGACAATTGGACTGGGCTATGCTAATAGATGTAGAATAACTGGTTTCAGTCCACATGGTTATAGTAATCAGTGGTTACATAATTGGAATTATATGGCTCAAAATCGTCTTCAATGGTGCAGGTGCGTCTAGTCTTAGTTCCCTCCAGATTCTGGGCTTCTGAATTCTTCGTAACTTGTTTTGTGTTTTTATTTAATTGCTTTATATTCCCTTGAATCGTATCTGATCCCTAATCTTTTCTGTTACCACTCATACTATCACTACCGCTATTATTTAGTGACCTGGGTTGACAATTTCATCTTGCTATGCAAAGTGGTTATGGCACATTGAACTGATGCACATACGTACCATGTTCTGCGTTGTGACTGACTGATTCTACGGATAAATTTGAAAGCTAGCTTTGCAACGACTCGATGACTGGCATACACTAGCTTCGAGGGGATAGAATACATCCATGTAAACACAAGATCCAGGTAGCAACAGAACTTTGACACCAATCGGAAAAAGATGGGCGTGATATATAAGCTTAGATGAAAATATTAACTAGAAAGCGGTAAGATATAGCAGTGTTCACTTACCGATAAAAGTTGTTTCTCCCTATAAGCATTTTTCCTGTCTATTTCCTCTAGTAATCTATAGTCTTTCTGAAAGAAGAACATTGAATAATTCTCTTTCCGACAATAGGTAATAGTATCACATATGCCCGAACAATCAAACTGTGCTTTATGGTTACTACAGCATGAAAGACTACAAGTTTTTACTTCACATTTCGGACATTTGTATTTAAACTCATTTTCTGAGCACATAGCGCATAGCCGATTGTCACTGACTGAAGCACATTTCACAAATTGCGAATTTTCTACATTCATTACTGTATTACTTCAGAACGACGTGGCACCTAGAGAGTGGCATAAAGAATAGTAACATTCAGAATTTCGAACAAATCAATGAGAAAAGTGTAACTGGGTCGATAAAGTGTGAATAAAGTCCGCTGTTCCAGCAATAATCTAAAAAACCACTGAGAAACAGCTTCTCAAGTAAAAGTAAACTAGACTGACGACCAGTCAGTCAGTGATTTCGGGAATTAAGGTTGGAGTTTTCATCACGAACCAACATCAGCTATAACGCCGAAATGCTATTTAGCCGTATAGATCGTCCTTACATAACATATCGCTTGGCATAGTAATATAATATACATATTATTGTACACTCCTCCCGAAAGTACGCCGAACAGGTCGTAAGCAAGTTTCAGGTAAATCTACGCGTCGTTAAAAATATGTCATAAACAGTAACTCATTTTACTACATTAATGTGCAATATACTGAAGCCAAAAAACATGTGACATTACGCACACATTCAATGAACGCGGTCCGTAAAAACAACATTCATTATCTAGTAATATATTCCCAGTAATTAAGAAAACTTGTCGTGAACCAAAATAAATAGATTGATTACTTTGTAGTGATCTACTAGAATCAAGAGAACGCGATTGGTGTTATGAAAACAATTATTATTTAAGGACAGGGCCTACCAACTCGGCAAACATTATATAGGTAGGCTACCTGTCCATTCACGTAAGGCTCATACAGACAAACAGGAAGCTCACGCGTTTCAAATTGAAAGCATAAACTGCTTATACGTGAACACCGCGAGTCTACGAAACAAAATGGATGAGCTACGTGAACTTGGCTACATTCATAAGGCTCATCTGGTAGGAATAACTGAAACGTGGACATCTCAGTTCTCGGACCAGGAGTTAGCAGTACCTGGGATCTCTTTGTTTCGCAACGACAGAAAACCAGGAATTGGGGTGGAGTAGACATGTTCATACGATCTTGCTTTGAGTTACAACAAGTTCGTAACTTCGAATTTAACAGTCTTGAGGAATCCATATGGTGCTCTGAAAGATTGTCTGTTACTTTGAGGTGTCTAGTCGGAGTCATATATAGGAAGCCTACCGCCGACACCGAGTACGACAGTCGTATGATGGAAGGACTATCTCGCTCTACTCGTCTCGGTTTCACTCATATCCTGATTCTAGGGGATTTCAATCTCCCTAGAGTCAACTTCGTGGAACATACGTACATTGGAGGTGAAAATGTAACTGAAGCTCGGTTCTTCAACCTCATTGAGGACTTGGGATTATACGAAAATGTAAAGTCGGCAACTCGTTGGAGAAACAGTCAGACACCATCGCGCTTAGACTGTGTATTTACAAACGAAGAATGCCTAGTTGACATCCTCTCAATCCTGGCTCCCCTAGGAAAAAGCGATCACGCCATTATAGCTTTCAGTTTCGTCAGCAAAACTGAGCTAAGATATCCCACCAACAACTTGCGCTGGAATTTCAGATGGTTGGACGTGTCAGCTTTACAGGACTATCTACAACTGGTGGATGGGGATGTTCTCCCTCAACTCGATGTGGATGCTCATTGGGACTTCTTACTACACATGCTCATATGTGCTACAAATCATTCAGTTCCTCAAACGGTCCCTCATATCTATCAGCAACTCACAATCATCAAGAACCGCACTCTTCTCCTGCTAAGCTGCAAAAGGCACTGTTGAGCAGAGTACAAGCGAACTGATAACAACGGAGAGTACAGGCAATACAAGCATAAAAGGAACATAAGCACAAAGGCTTCAAGAGTAGACAGGCTCAGTACCAGACAAAGCCTATGGACACATTTGTCTCTAATCCGTAAAGCTTATTCCGTTATGCAGCCTCTCTTTGTCAAGCCAAAACTGGCGTTTCCCAACTGCTAGGTCTCAACGGCCCGACCAACGACGACGGCGACGCCGCTAACCTTTTAGCCGAACAATATTCTCGGACATTTCAACCGACCCACATAAACTATAGTGACGAAAGCTTCATCTGCAACTCCGAAAGACTTTCCGAAGTACACCTGAGCGCTGATTTGGTGTTCCGGAAACTGCACTTGAGAATTGACACTTCTCCTGGCCCGGATATGGTTCATTCCGCCATACTGAGGGAAGCAGTCTCAATACTGACAATGCCGCTTAGCGTGATGTTCTCACACTCGCTAAGCCGAGGAAAACTACCGGATAAATTGGAAGCCGGCTCACATCACACTAATTTTTAAAGGAGGTCGACGCAGCGAAACTTCAAGTTACCGACCGGTGGCTCTTCTCTCAATACCTTCAAAAATCATGGAGTCCCTGATATGCGATGGCATAAATGACCATTTACTGTCCTTAAATTTCTTCTCACCCCAAACAACATGATTTCAGGAAGTGTTACTCTTGTATAACCAACCTGCTGACTGCCGTGGACAGATGGACAAGCATCCTCGATCACGAGGGGAAGGTTGATATCATCTACCTAGATTTCTCAAAAGCTTTTGATAAGGTTAACCATACATGTCTTATCAATAAGCTCAAACGATTGGGTATCAGACCACCTCTAATCGATTGGTTCACTTCATACCTGAAAAATCGACATTTTAAGGTCAGGGTTAGTTTTACTTTATCTCAGGCTATGGAATGTCCTGGTGTGGGCCTCCAGCGCTCAGTACTAAAGCCTCTTCTCTTCCTGATCTACACAAATGATCTTCCTCAACAGGTAACGTCAGACATATTACTTTTCGCGAACGACGTGAAACTTTGGAGAGAAATATGCAACCAAGGCGATATACAAGCACTTCAGGAGGATCTGACTAGACTTCAAAGTTGGGCAGATGACAACGGACTTACCTTTAACACTTCAAAGTGTAAAGTAGTCCATCTGCGACATGTCGCAAACTACAGTTATAACTTAGGCAACTCTTCTCTAGTAGTATCCCAAGTCGAAAAAGATTTAGGAGTCCTGGTGCCCTACGATTTAAAATCTAATGCTTACTGTGACAAAAATGCCTTCCGAGCAAACCGTGCACTGGTACCATTGAAGCGCATTTTTGGCCAGTTTGACGGAAGAACTTTCCATATAATCTTCAATAGTTTTATCCGTCTCCATTTAGAGTACGGAAACATAGTATTTCCTCCCTCACTCCAAAAGGACAAGGACACCTTGGAGCGTATCCAACGGCGAGCCACGAGATCAGTTCGAGGACTCAAATTTAAACCTTATGAAGAGCGCCTCCAATCATTTAACCTTTACCCATTAGAGTATAGACGTCTTAGAGGTGACCTGCTGATGGCTTATAGTATCCTTAACACTTCTGGACATCCTCTCAAACATCTACTTAAGCTTAGTTCCAATACTAACCTAAAGGGTAGCACTCAGGAATTGGAGACACAACATAGCAGAACGGACTGTTGACACAATTTCCACTCCTTAAGAGTTGTCAGATGCTGGAATTCACTGCCGTTCGAGCTAGTCCAAGTGACTTACCAAGGGTCCTTTAAGAGGCAACTTGATCTATTCTTAAGGATTAAGGATAGTATCACACTATGACTTACTAATTTCCTTTTCCTCTTTCATTGTGAACATACTCAGGTTCCTGTCTGGAGGTATTGGTGATCACCTGCTACTAGACACAGAAGCCCGTTAAGCCAAAGCTTCTTCTATTCCGTCTACAACCATTTGAACTATTTGAAGTCTTTGTTCCGTTCGCAGTCTTAATCGATTCGTAACCGCTACAAACATAGCAGTATATGCTCATTCTGTGATGATTTTCTCGATAGTACTAACGTTATGAGTTTATATAAAGTGGGTGAAAGACGGTTGTCAGCAAAACTCATGGGAAGTCACTATTACGTCATGATTATTTGAGATAATCATATCTCAATCTCCCAAGCTTGAGGAAATTTTGGGGAAACATCCAGAGTGAAATGACTTTCACAAAAGTTCAGGGAAATTTCGGGGAAAAACTCCAAACTTAGGGGTATTTCGGGGAAATCTTGGGGAATCTCTCCAGATCTGAGTAAATTTTGGGGTTTTGGTGCCATTTCCCCAAAGTTTACTGTGGCGGCTTCCCTAAAATTGGGAGATCGGGATTGGAAGAAAAGAGTAAAAGAATTGTCAGGTAGAGAAGTTTTTCCTCATAAAGATTCCAATCACTGACTCCTAGTTATTCAGTTGAAAGGTTTGCAGTTTTACTAACTATTGGGACTTTGGTTTACTAGGTAAGGAGCTACTAAGCGATCTAGGAGTGGACACAACTGTTGATTTGAGCTTTCAAACAAAGATAGGCCGTCGTAGTTCAGTCGGACTTTCATTTCGGTGAAAGTTGTCTTGCGCAGCCAATTTTCTGAAGTCCTCATCAAACTCGATTTCAATCCTAGATGGTAGTAGACTCCCGTTCCCAGAATTTTGAGCTCCACGTTGTTGCAGCGACGTAGAACACTTTTGATGGATGTGGGGAGTTCTGGAATGTGCATTTAAGAAAGGTCTAGAATGTCGTCGGCCATTTTCACGGTTATGTCACCTCCTTTCATCATCTCATTGACAATTCTGTCTAGTTGTTTTTTCATTGAAAGATGAATGGGTGAAGACATTTCTGAAATTACACCATCTATAACTTGTTAATAAATAAAGCTAGACTACCGTCGGCTGTGCTGGCAGAACACTGGATGTAACTACACGAAGCAGTGGGTGTTTGTGAGACAATATTGTTACACTGCTCTGTAACTGCGGTGGTCCCTACTTCTGTGGCAACTGAATTGTCGTTCTCATCGTCACTGCTCGTTAACTGATACTTTTTGATGCATTCAGCTCTTAACTTCCTCAACCTTCTGTAAAAAGTTGATTTGGGACAGCTCATCAACCTCAAGTCTCTTTAGCCCGCCTTTTAGCAATCTTATCAAGCTGTAAATTATTATTCTGAAAGAGACAATTGACTTAAGTTAGACTGAACAAAAGCAGTAATCGAAGTTCTGGACAGTACAAATAACCCACCTACATGGCGTGAGAATTTGAAAAAGTAGTTTAAAGCCGACGAATCATTGTCTCGTGTCTTTTTGATGCACTAAAACAAAACTTCAACTTCGGTAGACTATTCGTGACCAGAAGTCATTATTTCATTAGAATTAATATTTCTTCATTGTAATTTAATATTTAAAGGTCCAATAGTGCAATTTTGATGAAATTTCAATCTGCAATAATGCACAACGCACATTTTGGAGATTTCCCCGAAATTCCTTCAAACTTGGGAGCTTGGGAATACAAATGTTCTGATTTTTGGCAAGTATTTATTCGTTGGACCTTAAACTTTCACTTTTCTCAAGGAGTAAAAACGAAAATGATCAGTGAGCACTAGTTTTCACTTATCAAGAGAGGTGATAATAGGCTTCTAATGAGGTAAAAGATTCCCTAACAAGTTAGTGGGAACTAGTACGAATGATGTAGTAGTATCAGCAGAAAGCATCCCACCCTTACGAGTATGGTATATACAGTGGG